GAATTGAACTCAGGACCTCTGGAAGAGCAGGCAGTCTTCCCAAACAGTTCCACCAACTTTGGAGAGTATTCAAATATATGAGCCTACAGGGGTTATTTTCATGCAAACCACCACAGAATTCCAGTTTATAACCTGGGGATGCAATCAGACTGCAAAATTCTGACAGAAAAAACACCACTAAGCATGGCTGGTGGTGGTGCATGCACATCGTCCTAGCACTTGGAGGATGGGGGTAGAAGGATCGAGGTTTTTCTTGGCTGCATAGGAAGTTGTAGGTTAGCCTGCGCTACACAAGACCCTGTTAAATAAAACCTGGCATCCCAGGATAGAGCCCTAGGTCCCTATGGAGGAGGGTTCTAATCTCCCCAGTCCACATCTCGTCTCCTTCTCCCTTCATTTCCTTCTAAGGATCTCTTAAAGTCCTTCAGGAGACGCCTCTGTGGGACAGAGTGTGCTCATTTCCCTAGGGAGTACTACCAGAGGGGATAAAGGACAGGGCACTCAACTTCCTGGGGTGACTGGGACTTGGGGTGTGTGGGTTGTCTGTTCCTAGGTGGTCCAAAGCCCACAATCTCCTGTGCCAGCAGAGGATACAGAAGTCCCAGATAGCGCAGGTGGTTGGAGAGTCCACCGCGATGCTCAGGTAAGCTCCTTGCTGTGAAAGCATTTCCGCCGGACTAGTCTAAGCACCTCTGTGGGCTGGGGTGTGGCTCCCTGGTTAAAGACGTGCCTGGCATGCTGGAGGCCTGTGAATTCCATCCTCGGTATTGGAAACCAAAAATAAACGTGAAAGCCGGTCTGAAGCTGTTTCACCCGGGTGGAAAAGGCAGGGTTGAGTGGAGTCAGTGGCTGGGAGGAGGAAAGGTGGCCCCGGAAGCCATTCGCTTCACTGGGCTGCTGTGCAGAATGGCCAGGCCTTCATCTCCTCAGGCCAGCTCCTTTTAAATGATGGGTTAAAAGCAAACAAAAGACCCCACAACTCTGGACCCTCTGGCTGCCTGGCATCTTTTTATTTTTTTATTTTAATTAATTTTGGTTTTTTTGAGACAGGGTTTCTCTGTGTAGCCCTGGCTGTCTGGAGCTCACTCTGTAGACCAGGCTGGCCTCGAACTCACAGAGATCCTCCTGCCTCTGCCTCCTGAGTGCTGGGATTACAGCCATACATCATCACCTGGTTTATATATGAGGTCTTGCTTGTTGTGCTGGTATTGAACTCAAGGTCTTGAGCAGGCTGTCAAGAGCTACTCAAGAGTTAAACACACAGACCTTAAAACACTTTTTTTTTTTTTTTTTTTTGGTTTTTCGAGACAGGGTTTCTCTGTGTAGCTTTGCGCCTTTCCTGGGACTCACTTGGTAGCCCAGGCTGGCCTCGAACTCACAGAGATCCGCCTGCCTCTGCCTCCCGAGTGCTGGGATTAAAGGCGTGCGCCACCACCGCCCGGCCTTAAAACACTTTTTTAATATTAATTTATTTTATATTTTATGTATATAATTGTTTTGCCTGCACCTGTGTATGTGCACTGGATGTGTCTGGTGCCTGAGGAGGCCAGAAGAGAGAGTTGGGTCCCCTGGAGCTGCAGTCATGGATGGTTGTGAGCTACCATGTGGGTTCTGAACCCAGGTCCTCTGGAAGAGCAGCAAGTACTCCTTAAAGCTACTGAGCTGTCTCTCCAGTCAGTCCCCCCAGTTTTTTTGTTTTTGATTTTAAAGGAAAAAGCTGGTGTGGTGGCACATACCTTTAATCCAAGCACTCAGGAGGTAGAGGCAGGTGGGTCTCTTGAGTTCAAGGCCAGCCTGGTCTATATAACCAGTTCTAGTTCCAAGCCAGCCAGGGTTATACTGGGAGACCTTGTCTCAAAAGATGTATGTTTGTGTCCCTATATTTATATGTGTGTGTGTGTATGTATGTATGTATGTGTGTATATATTATATACATATATATGTATATATTACACTATGTATAAACAAACAACAAAAAAAGAAAAATTAAAAAATTACTCGCCCGAGGTGCTGAGATGGCGGCCCAATTGGTAAAGTCCTGCCTCATGAGGCGTGCAGACCTGAGCTCCGCCCCCAAAGCTGGGTGTGGTAGAATGAGTTCAGAACCCCAGCACTGGGGAAGTGCAGACAGGCGAATCCCCGGGACTGACTGGCCAGCCTAAGCAGTGAGCTCCCGGTGAGAGACCCTGTCTCTAACCAAAGTGTGTCAGTGAGGTGGCTGGTCGAGTAAAATGCTTGTCGTGCCAGCCTGACTACAGTGATCCCAGACCCATGTAAAGGTGGAGAGAGGGAACCGACTCCACGGATGTTCTTTGACATGTGTGCCATGGTGTGTCTATGCCTATAAACATACAATGATAAGTAAATTTTCTTTTAAAGACTTATTTATTATGTATATTATGTATACAGCATATATGACTGCAGGCCAGAAGAGGGCACCAGATCTCATTACAGATGGTTGTGAGCCACCATGTAGGTGCTGGGAATTGAACTCAGGACCTCTGGAAGAGCAGGCAGTGTTCTTAACCTCTGAGCCATCTCTCCAGCCCATATGTAAATTTTCAAAAGTGAAAGTAAACAACGGGCATGGTGGCACACATCTTTAATCCCAGCACTTGGAGGCAGAGCCAGGTGGGTCTCTGTGAGTTTGAGGCCAGCCTGGGCTACAGAGCGAGTTCCAGGACAATCAAGGATACACAGAGAAACCCTGTCTTTAAAAAAAAAAAAAAAAGACAAAGATAAATGGCTCCTGAGGAAGGACACTCAAGGTTGACTTCTGGCCTCCACACTTAGGTCACAGATAGACATATAACCTGCACATACACATAAATAATAAGATTTAAAATGCCTCGCCCAAGTAGAAAATGAAGTAGAAGTAGCAAGGGCCATGCCGTTCACCATTCTTTGATCTCTTTGCAGGGAGGGATATAAGACGTTCTTCGACACACTCTACCATAACAACATTCCTCTTTTCATCTTTTCGGCGGGCATTGGCGATATCCTGGAGGAAATTATCCGGCAGATGAAAGTGTTCCACCCCAACATCCACATTGTGTCTAACTACATGGATTTCAATGAGGATGTGAGCCACGTCTCAGCCGGGCTGCAAGAGAGGAGGGGTGGGCTGTCAGCCTGGGTGCCTTTTCGCGTGGCCAGCTGGCCTCTTTGCCCTCTGGTGGGCAATTTTAGTCCAGTTCCCCCTTTCTTTCCTTGAGACAAGAGTCTTGCTACGCTACCCAGGCTGGCCTGGAGTTCCTAAGCTCAGTCAGTCCTCTGGCTCCTGAATGGCTGGAACTGTCATGGCACTTGGCTTCACGAATTCCTTGCTTTCTTTTTTGTTTTTTGAGTCAGGGTCTTTCCATATAGCCTTGGCTTTCCTAGAACTCACTGTATAAACCAAACTGGCCTCAAACTCACAGAGAACCCCCTGCCTCTGCCTCCTGAATGCTAGGACTGAACCATTCCTTGCTACATCCAGCCTGTGTGTTACTTTATGTTATATGCATTGGTGTTTTGCCATGGGTGTTGGGTCCTCTGGAACTGGAGTTACAGACAGTTGTGAGCTGCCATGAGGGTGCTTTTAACCACTGAGCCATCTCTCCAGCCCCCCTGTGTGTCACTTTGAAGGGATCAACAGTCAGGTGTCTGGCACCATCATAAGTAGTGTGTCACCCTGGGTACCAAAGTGCTTACACTTTGACCTGTGTACTGAAAGCCAGCGGTGAGTGGTTCCAGCTTACCCAAGTTTTCACTTCTCAGTGGGCAGCCATGATGGCACATGCTTTCATCCCAGCACTTGCAAGATGGAGGTAGCAGGCTTAGGATTTCAAAGCCAGCCTTACCCGCATAATGAGTTCACATTCACTGGGCTATAGGAGACCCTGTCTCAAACAAAAATCAGTGGTGAAATTTTGTCACTGTTAATGGCCTACAGCCAAGTGCTAACAACACACATGTTTTTCAGATGAGAATCTGACCCAGGCCTTGAGCAGAGCCTCTGAATGGTTCCTGCAACCTGACTCCGCAGCATTTGTATTCTAGGCTTCCACCAGAATGGAGATCAGGAATACCTATGGTCGTTATTTAAAACAGGAATTACAAAGTTCTCCTAGAAAAGGCCAAGTGGTTTGGGCCTGGAGGCACGGGCCTGTGATCCCAGCTGCTTAGGAGACTTAAGGCAGGAATTTGAAAGTTCAAGACCTGCCTGGCCTGAGCTGTAGAGCAAATTCAGGGAGAGCCTAGAAAGCCTGGATAGAAAAAGATGTGTCTCACAGTGAGAACTGGGGCCAAGCAAGTTGGTGGATGCTTTTAATCCCACACTCAGGAGCAGAGGCAGGGGGATCTATGAGTTTGAGGCCAGCTTGATCTACATAGAGAGTTCCAGGACAGCCGGGGCTAGATAGTGAGACCCTGCCTCAACAACAAAACAAACAAACAAAAAGAGAAAACAAGAAAAAAAGAAATAGCATAGCGGCGGCGCACGCCTTTAATCCTCTCATTCAGGAGGCAGAGGCAGGAAGAACTCAAGTCAGCTAAAGCTACATAGACTGTTCTCAAAAGGAAAAGGAAAACGTTGGAGGTGTGGCTCAGTGATACGGTGCCTGCGTGTGTAAGGCGTGTGCTAAGTCCCAGTGCCTTCGTAAGAGGCCAGCTGTGCACGCTTGGGCCTCTGTGGGCTGCCATCTTTGCTGCGTCTCCCCTCAACTTCGCCCTCACCTCCCAGAATGCAGCCCAAAGCAAGACACAAACAACTGAGTCTAGCTGGGTTCTGTGATAACATTTATAACAATAGACCTGATCTGCCCGTGTGTCCTAGTTCCAGCGCCCCCCCCCCCCCCTTTCAGGCTCCAGTAAAGCTTTGCCGTTCTCTCAGGGTTTGGGAACTCTTTTTTTCCCCATGACAGGCCCATGTGCTACATGGGTGCCCTCGCCCTGCTCTCTGTCTCTTGGGGTGTTTTAGGGTGTCCTGCAAGGCTTCAAGGGCCAGCTCATCCACACCTTCAACAAGAACAGCTCCGTGTGTGAGAACTCCGGTTACTTCCAGAAGCTTCAGGACAAAACCAACATCCTCCTGCTTGGAGACTCCATGGGGGACCTCACTATGGCTGATGGAGTCCCTGGGGTGCAGAACATTCTCAAGATTGGCTTCCTAAATGACAAGGTGAGCAGTGGCTGGGCCTCCCCTCTGACTTCGGGATTCCTGCCCGCACTTTTGAATTCCTTTCCTGTGCTAGAGACTGTGGGAGGTATTAGGGCTGCAGAGGAGGGGCAGAGTTGTGTTCTTGGTCTCTCACCCCTCTCCCTCTCCTCTCTCTTTCCCTTCCTCCCTCCTCTCTCTGCCCCCCCCCTCGGTGTGTATGGGGGGCGGGAGTAAAGGGGAATTTGTGTATCCTAGGCTAGTCTCAAACTGTGTAGCTAAGGCAGACCTTGAGCTTCTGACCAGCTTGCTTCAACCTCCTAAATGCTGGGATTACACGAATATGCCATCATACCATGATTTATGCTCTCTCTTTTGGTGTGTGTGTGTGTGTGTGTGTGTGTGTGTGTGTGTGTGTGTGTGTGTGTGTGTGTTTGTGTGTTTGTGTTTGCTGGGAAAGGAACGTAGACCCCGATAGATGCCAGGTAAGTACTCTATCACTGAGTTACATCCCAAAGCCTCGGCACTTTCCACTATGACTTGACCCAAGACTTGAGAGGTCACTCTGCCCAAACACGCACGGCTGTGCGCTCAGCGCGTGTCAGTCCCCATTCTGGTCACACAGACACCGCTAACCCACTAAACTCTCACTTTGTGGGGTGACTCCTTAGTTTGTCTTGGAGGTGGGTTTTTGTTGCTGTTGTTTTTGGTTTTTTTTTTTGGTTTTTGGTTTTTCTGAGACAGGGTTTCTCTGGCTTGACTGAGATGAGAGATGCCAGGGTTGAGAGCATGATTTTATAAAAGGAAGCAAAAACATCAGAGCCTGGCAGGGATGGACAGAGCCCAAGCCAGAAAAGGGCTCAGAGAAGGTGTCCATAAGGGTGGACCCAGCCAACAGAGGCCGGAGCCCAGTGGACGCCAGAGCCATGTGAAGATGACGTGTGACAGCTGGGCGTTTGTCTGTAGTTGTTACTGTCTGCTGGACACTGGCCGAGGGTCCGTGGTGGGAGCTCGTGCCCCTCATTGCCTGCCTGTGTCCTTATAACCTTGACCTCCCCAGGCTTTCACAGGAGAGCTGGGGGATGGCGTTTGCATGCCTCTACCCCAGACCCCAAGAGGCCTGAGAGTAAAAAGAGGGGCGTTTGGGGGACTCAGCTCTGCTTCCCCTGGGCAGGTGGAGGAGCGGCGGGAGCGGTACATGGATTCCTACGACATCGTGTTGGAGAAGGACGAGACGCTGGACGTGGTCAATGGGCTGCTGCAGCACATCCTGCTTCAGGGGGACTGCATGGAGATACAGGGCTCCTGAGCACTACGGCGCAGGCCAGGCCCTGCCGGCAGTGACGAGGAGGGATGCCTGCCCACGAAGCCTCCTCTGTGAGCAGCGGCCAAGAGCTGCTGGGCCCTCCTCACCAGACTCCTTCCTTCCCCATGCCTTTCCTTCCTCCTGCTAGGAAGAGGCTTGAGGGAGGCCCTGCCTGTGGGTGGGCAGCAAGCGTGCTCTGTGGCCCACAGCATGTCAGCCTTCTGCGGACCATCTAGCCCAAGGGCTCTTTCTAAGCAAGTTCTCAGAGCTGGGAATACAGATGGCTCAGCGGTGAAAGGCCTGCATAGCATGTGGCGGGCCCTGGGTCCCTCCCCAGCACTGTAAAAAAAGGAAAAGTAAAGCTGTACATCAGACAGATATAGCGTGTGAGTCAGATGAAAATTAACAAAAGGGGGCTGGAGAGAAGGCTCAGAGGTTAAGAGCACTGACTGCTCTTCCAGAGGTCCTGAGTTCAATTCCCAGCAACCACATGGTGGCTCACAACCATCTGTAATGAGATCTGGCGCCCTCTTCTGGCCTGCAGGCAAGCATGCTGTATACATCATAAATAAATAAATCTTTAAAAAAAAAAAAATTAACAAAAGGACAGAGTTGTTCCAACTCACGGTGTGGGAGCTGCGTGTACAGCCTGAGCCTTGGCCCTCAAGGCACAAGAACTCGTAGGAGACCTCTGGAACTCCATGGAACTAAGTTTGGGAACAGTGGGAAAGCTTAGAAATCCCATGTGAGTACAGTCTGAGTGTGCCTGCAGCCTGAGTCCTGGAATAGCCCAGGAGTGTGTCTGTAGATCTGGGAGGGGAGCGATGGGAAGCTGTGATCCTGACCTGGCATGGAAACAGCCTTGAAACTTGAAGTTCAGCTGGGTTGAGGTTGGATACCCCCCACATACACAAAGGGTACATTTGAGTATGGATTTTCCATAGGTCCTTGGATCTTTCTTCCACTTTTTAGTCCAGTGCCACCAACATAATGAATGACCTGAAAGGAATGTTATTTTTTATTTTAATTCATGGATATGAGTGTTTTTCCTGCGTGGATGTATGTGCACCAGGTGTGTGTGCCTGGTGACTGCAGAGGTCAGAAGAGGGTGCCAGATTCCCTGGAACTGGAGTTGCCGACGGTTGTTATCCTCCATGTGGGCTCTGGGAACTGAACCCAGTGCTCATAACCACTGATCCACTGTCCAGCCCCCTTAAAGGGATTTGAGACCAGACCCCTGGAAAATTGCAGAGCCAAGCAGGAGTAATTGATGCACTAGTACCTTGCATATCAACTGTAGTTCCCGTGCCTCTGTTCTGTTCGCTCAGAAGAACGGGAATTCTCCAAAGAACAAACAGAAGAGCTGCTTCCTGGACCTTTTCTCTCATCCCCTTAGAGAAAGTTGTTCATACACACTCCTGTCCAGGAGGCTGTTTATCCCTAGTGCTGTTACCTGCAGACCTGATGGGACGGGGAACCCAGGGCTATCAAGTGCCTGCGGAGTATGGGCGCCATCCTGGGCACGTAACACCCCCACCATTTCACTCTTGGTGACTGTGAGCAGAATCCCTCATTACAGGTTGGGTAGCTTAGACGGGATGAATAACCTTCTCGGACACCATACCCAGGAGCCAGAGCCAAGTTCTGGGTACTTCTAGCCGAAGTCTTTGCCTGTTCTCCATCCAGTCCTGTTTCCCAGCTTCAGTTCAGGGCTCTCCTAGGTTCTGTGGGAGGGGGCCTATGACTGTTCCAGAGCCACAGGCTGACTTCAGGAGCTTGCTGGAGGCTTTGGTGACAAGGAGCGCCAGTCACTGGCCTCGGGCAGCAATCATGTCTGAAGCTCCTGGAGCGTGTGTGTTAGTTTTCTGATACAGTAACAAAATACAGTAGTCAACTTAAAAGAGATTACTCATCCCTTGGGAGACTTCAGTCTGGGGACACTTGGCCCCACTGCTTTGGGCCTGTGGTGGCAGCGTCATCACGGCAGGCGCACATGGTGGAGGAGGCCCACGTGGTGGCCAGGCACAAAAGAAAAGAGACCAGGGCCCCACCGTCCCCTTCAAAGAGTACTCAATTGTCTTTGTCACTTTTCTGTTGCTGTGACAGAAAAACCGAGGCACTTAGAAATGTTTAATTGGGCTGTGGCTTCAGGTTGGAGTCCACGATGATGCAGGAGAGGCGTGGTAGCAGGAATAACAGCTTATAAAATGAGCCACAAACAGGAGGCAGAGAGCACCCTGGGGGTGGCGGGGTGCTTTGGAAGCCTGAGAGCCTGTCCCTGGGACCTATGACCTCCACGGAGGCCACACCTGATCCTGAACAGCACTACTAATTGGAACCAAGTGTTCAAATGTATGAGTGTGTGGGGCTCTTCTCATTCAGACCACCATGCCAGTGACTTAAAACCTTCCACAACCCCCACCCCACCCCCGTAACACATAAACCTTCTAATGGCACCCCGGGCTGGAGATCAAGCCTTAGGGGACACCTGATTCTAAACTGGAGCACTGGGCAAAGAAAGACGCTTAGGGACAGTTTGGAATGAATGTGGCCTTGTCATTTTCTGTAAAATCTTCACTCTGCACAGGGTGTCTCTGTCACAGTGGGCAGAGTGAGGCAGGCAAGTGAGGGCAAACAGACTGGCTTGGAGAAGCATTTCTCTCTAGGACTGCAGACGTCTGTAGTCAGTTCTCTTTCCTCTGGCAAGAGGGAGAGGGGCAGGTGGAGAGAGGAAGGTGGAAATGCTGCCGGACTGAGAATGGATCCGTGTCCACAACTGTAATCTGGCCTGCCGGACTGAATGGATCTGTGTCCACAACTGTAATCTGGCCTGCAGGACTGAATGGATCTGTGTCCACAACTGTAATCTGGCCTTTGGGGTTCTATTCAGTTCTTGAGCTCTGGGGGTTGTCTGAGGTCAGGGCCATTGTTTCTGCCTTTATTTGAGACAATAAGGGGACAAGGATCATCTCCATGCCTCTCCTGCAGACCTTCATCTCTGGCCATTGACCCTCAAGAGTCCAGGGCTCTTTAAACCCAGAGATTAGTTAGGCTTGGTTTAGTTAGGTTTGAGTGGGGCCAACGGGAAGATCTCCATCTGGAATCTGTCCCTCATGAGGCCACAGCAACTGCCTGGCTTGTCCCCTTTCTGCCCCTGCCCTTGGGTTAAAAGCGTTCTCCTGGGCTGGGGAGATGGCTTAGCCAATAACAAGTCCCAGAGTTTGATCCTCAGAAGCCATGTCACAAGCAGCATGGCCCAGCATGCACCTGTAATCTCAGCTCTGATTTTCGAGCCAACTGGTCTACCTGATCTTTGACCTTCCAAGTTCAATGAGAGACCCTGTCTGAAAAAAATAAGGTGTATGTAAGGGTCTGAAGAGATGGCTCAGCAGCCCAGTGTGGTAGTGCATTATTGGAATTTTCCCAGGGGCCTGCTCTGAGAAGATTCCTCCCAGAGTCCTGGGGAAGACTCTACTGCCGGAGTGGGGCAGGGGTGCGGGGAGATGGGTGTATCTGAGGGAGAAGAATCTAAGTACACCGGGCTCTTTTGTCCGTCCACTTTATTTCTCTAAGACAAGATTCTGTCTACATACCTTCAGTTCCGTTCTGATTCTCAGTTCCTCTCTGTCCCTTCTCTTCCTGTCCTCTCATAGCCCTAGTAATAACTAAGCTCTCATGCTCTCGACCTCATCCTCATCCTCCATTCCTTCATCCTCCATCTTTCCTTCCTCTTCTCCTGCTCTGACCCAATCACTACTCATCCAAAAACTCTGCCCTGTTCTCCCTTCTCCCACCCAGACAAGGAAATTCTGCATCAGCCTTCACTCCACCTGGTTATGAAAAAGCCCTTTTGTCCTGAGTCAATAGCTCTGGAATGCCACTAGGCCTGAAGGAAAGGGATGGTCTGAGCTTCGTTTGCACAAGAAACAAAGCTATGCATCTACAGTCCACGTGTCTTCTAGGCTCTGTAGGGGTGTACCTAGTTCAGATCAGCAGTAGGTCTGAGAAGCTTATACTGTTCCCCATATGGCCTAGTAGTATATGAGCACATAAATTCATAGCAGAAGACAGCTGATATATTAAAAGCTGAATAACACCAAATATTCCCTGATATTTGGCTTCCCTCTAGAAAGATTCCTCGACCTTTCTAGGTACAGCTTTATTATACACAGCTGAATCTCTATAATATATCCTGCAACTTGCAGCATTGCATGCTTTGAACCCTAGCATTCAGGAGTGAGGGGCAGGCGGCTCTCTCAAGGCCAACCTGATCTACTTAGCAAGTTCTAGGACAGCTACAAAAAAACGTACCTGTCTCAAAAAAGAGGCAGAGGAGAGATGGCTCTGGTTAAGAGCACTGGCTACAGAGCCACGGGGGCTGGGGCTGGATGGACAGATGTCTCCTCCACACCCACATCCCCTCCTGTGTGTGCTTGGGAAAAAACTTCGGCTTTTTGTATGTTTTTGTTTTTCTGAATAAAAAAGGGTTTTGTTTGTTTAATTTTTTTGAGATGGTTTCTCTGTGTATCCCTGGCTGTCCGGGCCCTCGCTCTGTAGACCAGGCTGGCCTCCAACTCAGAGGGCTGCCTGCCTCTGCCTCCCGAGTGCTGGGATCAAAGGTGAGTGCCACCACTGCCTGGCTGTAAAAGATGCTTAAAAAAAAAAAAAAAAAAAAAGCATTGCTCCTCCAAAGGACTGAGGCTTGATTCCCAGCACCCACATGGCAGTTCACAATCGCCTCCAACTCCAGTCCCAGGAGATCCAATGCCCTCTTGGCCTCTGAGGGCACCAGGCACACATGTGGTGTGTGGTGCACAGACCTGTCTGCAGGTTAAACACTCACACATAAAATACAAAAAAATGAAGAGAGAGAGAGAGAAGTGAGGGAGCACATTCTGCTCTTCAAGGGAGAAGGACACATTCAGTTTGCAGCACACACAGGGCAGGTAAGAAGTGGTTGTCACTCTGGTCCCAGGAGATCTGACACCCTCTTCTGGCTTCAGTGGGTGCCAGGCACACATGTAGTCCAAAAGACATCCATGCAGGCAAAACATCCATCCATGCATGCACACACACATACACTAAAAGTAATAATCAGGTAGGGAGAGACTGCCAAACACACCAGATGTCAATCTCTGGTCTCCACATACATGTGAACTTGCACATATATACATATATAATATACATCATACAATACATAAATACCCTCTCTCCACAGGGCCCGCTGAAAGACCACCTCTTGAGGCCTTCAGTTTGACCTTTTATTGACACAAAAGGAGAAAGGATTGGATCAGTTTCGTCTTTAGAGTCCAGAACTCTGCCTCCCTCCTTCCCATCAAATTAGCACCAAGTGCAGGTTTTCACAGCCCTGAAGCCTG